TAGCTAGAGCCTGTGAGATCTCCCCAGCGTAGCAGGCAGACCCTCGGCTGGACTGGACCAAAGGACTTCGTCTCTGCGTTGGTAGCTATATCAATCCCCTCTCTCTCTCTCTCTCTCTCTATCTTTTTCTCTCCCTTAATCCCTCTATCGCATTTTTGCTGTAGTTATTTCAATAAAACCACATTTGATTTTATTATCACTGCAAACCCCCTTGTACCGTGTTGGTGTCTTGCACTCTGAGATCATTCCTACGAACCATCAGGTCATCTGTCCACTAGGACGGACCCTGACAGATGGAAAACACTGGATTTTTGTTAAAAAGGGGACTGAATCAGTATGTAGGTTGTTTCAAGCAGTTTTTTGTGTAACCTCTTCTTTAAACCCTGCTAAACATGGTCCCACAGCCAGCCTAGGCATATTCCCAGTGCATGCCTATTCTTGGAATTAGGATATACAAATTGACTTATATTTGCTGCAAATTAAAATGATTGTATCTCGTCCCACCTTCAGGGGACACAAGAAACATTTGATACCAGTTCTTATATATCCTTTTCATACATAAAAGTGTTACTGTGGTTCTCAAATTCATCTCTCATAGAATAAGCAGGCTTTCCTGAAGAAAATGCATTTTTCTGATTCCTCATTCTCATTTAATTCCATACTCTTTCCAAGGGTCATGCCCACAGTGTTCCATTGAAGATTCATCTCCTCTAAGGAGAACACAAAAAAATGTCTTCCATGTCTTCTGTATGTGATTCTTTTAATAAATTGGATAAGGATTAGATGTGGTGGCTTTGTAGCATTGCCACAGGTTTTATTCACTGTGAAGCAGTGACCAAGTGCAATCTCTGATACTCTTCTGCAAAACTGCTGTTTAATCAGTTTTTCCATACTTTGTGTTTACACTATTCTTTCCCCCATGGACTCGGCTTTTCTGAATTTCTTACAGTTGATTTCACATCATTCTTTCTTTTAATGGTCTGAGTGTGTTTTGACTCTGTTCTTGGCCTTCAGAATTCTGCAGTTCTTCCCAACTTAGGCAGACAATGCTTTAATAATATCTTCTTTTGTGCACTATCCATGCTGGTAGTAGTGAAAACATTGAGTGGAGCTGGCCCTGAAGGGCCCATGTGGGATCTCCCCCTCGTGTGTCTGCTAAGAGTACCACTGAGTACACCAAATGTGAGCATGGACACTCATGCAAATGTAGAGATAGATTTGAAATTTGACCTGGTAATTCCCATTGTACCACAATTACTCTGGGACTTGAACACAATTAAATTCCAGAAACACTTCTCTTTTTTCAAAATAGTGCCATTTGACATTGTAATTGCTTTGTATTCAAAGCACAGACCAAAACTGCTACCACAAAACTGATTCTGTAACCATTGTGGAAAATGATGATATTATATATGCCCTCTCCACTCATTGTACTTATGCTAAACTCACAGCACATATTTTGTACAAATTAGTAGCATGCTTGGCTTTTGTTCCCTCTGCAGTATTTTGAATATCCATCAGCAGATCATCTTTCTCTGTTTCTTGTGGTGTATTGAGGAAAGGAGAAAAATGATGATTTTGCCAAAATTGTGGATTACTTTCCTTTGCCAATGGCTAAGGCCATAGGGGCATGGACTGAGATCAGCCTTTTGCATAGGAATCTCTTATGTGTGTGTCTGTGAGATAAATGAGGGTGAGAACAAGCAAGGAGAGAGAAGCAGGGTGGCATTGCAGGAGGGCAAAGTGCCAGAGAATCTTTCTCTGAAGAAAAACAGAGATCTTGAAATGTGCATTGTCACTCCCAGAGGAGAGGGGCAGTGCTGCTGGAGGTCTGCAGAGTCTTTGTGTGTTACAGAGACTTGGTGGCGGGATAAACCATGGGTCCTTGGGCAAACTGGCAGGACCTGGCTCCCTGGAACTGTGTCACCTCCCTGCTTTGAGGACATGCCAGAAATTTATCAGCTCTCCTGATAAATACAGATCTTCCAGCTGTAAGTGGAAGACCTTTTCCCCTTTCCCCCAGACTTTGTAGCCAAGGAAGGAGCCCAGGAATTAGAAACCCTTTGGTGTTTCATTACTGGCACATTGCTGGAAAAATGCAGTCCTTTAGGCAGTGACCTAGTTAAGGCTCCTACTTCTGCAGAAATTTGGTGTTCCCATCTAGGCAGCTCCTAGCAAATGCCTGGTGAGCCATTCCCTTTCTCTCCCACACTCTCTGGAAGGCTGTCTCCCTCTCTTTGCAGGTATAATTCAATTCAAACAAGAGCTGCATATTCCTTGCTAGTCACTGCCTCGTTCCCCAGGCACTGGCCGAGTCATTGCCTTCCCATCAGCCTCAACGGGAAGTTGCATAATGCTGCAGAGACACAATGGAGAAAGGGATATTTTTAAATGTGTGCTTTATTTTTTACTTTTTGTTAAACCTGTATAAATAATTACAAAATGACAAAGAGGTTCATGTTTACTAAACATTGCATTTGATTGTATGAGATTACACAGTGTGTGTCACAATAGTTCACTTTTAATTGTGTCCTTTTAGCTGTTGGTGCATAATTCTATAACTCATAGGATACAATTAGTCCTGAAGCTGCATCCAGCCACCCCTTTAGTGGAACCCCTGAGTACTTACAATTGCAAGAGTGCATTAGGGGAGCTCTTGAGTCAACTGGCCAAAATTGGGGAATTTCATCAGAGAGGTCTGGCATAGCAAAAGGAGAAGGTAATGGGAGGTGTAGGATACATTCTTGAGAAAGGTTTGGAGGATTTTTGTTTCTGTGTTTTGTCCCCTTAGTTAACCTTTATAACTTTATACAGGTTAACAGAAACACTCTGGAATTAACCAAAGCCAGCAGAAACCACAGGCTCATTTAGGAATATGATTTTTTTCATGCTCACTGAGAGCAGGCAAATGGACAAACCTTGCATGACCAGTTTTTTACCTGATGAGCTGGTTCATATTTGAAAAGGGTAAAAATATACTCAACCACTTGATGAAATGCTGATTCTCCAAACCACTTACCATCCTCACCCATTGAAGGTCAACTGCCAAGGTTTTATAGACGTTCTCTGGTCATGATTCGCTTGCTTGCTTCTTCAAATTGCACTCCATGTGCTTTTTCACATTCATTCTCTCATTCATTCTCTTCAAAAGGTTTGAATAGAGCTACTTTACCTTCACATTTTGAGCTTTTAAAAGTATTTGTTGCAAACAATTTTTCAATTCTGTTTGGCTTGTTTAAAGCAAATTGTTTCCAGGTAGGTTAGATTTTTGTATAGATTTTCCCCATTATTCTGTGAAATACACACACTTGATATGTATTTTAGGAGTGGGGGTAGCTGTAAAGGATGACCTTTGATTACTTGAGATCTATGGCTGGCCACCTGAGTATGGTTTATATTGGCACAATGGCTGAATGTATATTAATGATAACTACATTTAAAGAAACTGATTACAGATTTCAATGGAGTTGAAAAGACCCAGATGAACCATAACAAGAAATTAAAAACCATAGAAAGTTTTTTGACAATCTTTCCCTGACTTTATTTTTCCTGCATCAGGAGATTTTTGGAAACATTCAACCAATTATGCATTCAAATCCATGTTTCCATAGAAGTGCAATGTTTGCTATTGTTTTCATTTGCTACTGCCTTGATATCTTTGCTCAGCTCATATCTGGACTCTCCTCTCCTGAACAGAAGGTTTTGTATATGAATTTATGTGCTTTGAGTTTGTCAGACTTAAAGACTTCTCCTTTCAGAACAAAGGTAAAAATGTGAATTTTCTTTAAAAAAAGAAAATCCAGTCTTTTCTGCTGAAAATTTCAAACCCAGCAACTCTATTCACCTCTCCTCCCCTTCCCAATGCTTATTTCCACTGTAGAACATGGCTTCAATGGAGCAATTATATTCTGCTTGGAGTATTCTGAAAATCCATAGTTCTCCCTGGCTGGGGAGTGGAATAGTGAGAACCTTTTAAAAATTTGGTACTGGAAAATGAAGGTCACAAAATTTCTGGTAATTGAGCCTCACAAAACTAGCTGCCACTGAACTGAAATGATGGGACTTTAATTGCTTTCCAGTTCTCTCCTTCCCACTGTGGCCACCTTCATTTCCAGATGTACTGACAGAGAATAGAGATGGCAGGTGTGGGAACCTGGGGAAAATAGAAGAGTTCATATTTAAACAGATTTGTTTGTTGTGAAAGAAGTCATTTTCACCAAAAAGGTATCTCAATGAAACCTGCAATATGAGTGTCAGAGGGACTGTGTGGCATGGAGCCAAGCTGAGGGCTGCTAAGATTTAGGAAAGCACAAGCATAAGGATGCCTGGACAGCATCCACAGCACATCTACTGCCTAGGGAAACCACAGTTATCCACAGAGGCCAATTTTTCTTATAAGCTTTTAAAGCACATTAGAAATTGGAATGCCCTCCTTTGCACAGCTGTCTGATGAAGGAGGAACAATGTTTTGCCTTGCCATGGCTCAGGTGTTTCCTGTGCTGCTCTGTGCTCACCTCTGTGTCTCAGGTCCTTTGTCACTCAGACACTGTCAGAGGGATCATCTGCCTTGGAAGCAGACTGACAAAATGAAACTCAGCCTCAGGCTTCCAGGGGAAGGGAGAACAGTTGTCTGGAATGTGCTGGGTGGTGCTTTAAACAAAGGCTATTTGATGTAACTCCTGAGAAGTCTGTGGAGAGGTGCTGATGAACACAATGAGTAAGAAATTCAGTATTTTTCCCATAATTTTTCCATTTCTCTCTTACCCAAGTTCTATGCTTTAAAGCTCTGTTGGTTGTAGTTGTCAATAATTTAAAACTAACCTTGTTTTTGATCTGGTGCTGGAACAGACCACCTGAAGAGCTCTCCAGGACTGCGAGTACATTTAGGAGGTTTTCTGTCCAGGTTTTCATGGAGTTCTCTACAATAAATCTAAGCATTTCTCATCTGAGTTGATTTTTTTGTCTCCCTTGACTTTATAGTTTCTAATATGTATTTGTCATTTCTACCTGTGAAATGTTCTCCATGAATTTATTATTTGCTTCTCACTTCAAACATTTTGTATTCTGAGATTCTGGCTTTGAGGGATATACTGGGCAAAAAAAAAAAGAAAAAAAAGAAAAAAAAGAAAGAACTCACTGATGTTAGCAATCTTATCCATAATTCTGGTCACATATCTCTGCTCCACATTTCCCCTTTCTAAGCCAAATTCTTTTAATATTTTTCTGTAAAACAGATTCTTAATGTTTGGTATCACCACTGACTGAGGCAAGAACTCTTCCTTTGATGGAGACATATGGAAAGTGCTGAATAAGGAGTTTAATTGATGTTCTACCACTCTTTTCCCTATTTCTGCAAATTCCATATAGTAAGTCTGCTGTATAAACATCCTCACAGGTGATATTAAATATCAGATGATGTCCTGACAGTGAGCTTTGGATGCTTCTCCTTGCTAGATCTGAAATTGCTGTGTCACTTGCGTATATCAGAGGCATGGCAGGTCAGCAAATTGCTGTTGGTTGTCCTGTGATAGCCATTGTAGCCACCCTTCCAGCAAGATCCAAGATATTGACAGAAAGGCTCCCATGAGAGGGGCTAGAATAATCCTGAAATTATAATGTGGCCACAGCCTCTGGAGCCAGCATCAGGGGATGCTTGGCAGAACCCCACCTCTCTTGCAAAGAAGGGTACAATGCACTGATTGGTCAGACTGTCAATAAACAGGTCTGGAACTGCCTGCAATAGTAGAGAGGAGAGAAAAGAGAAATGCAACTGCAGATGGATGTCCTTGAATCAGGAATCACCTTAAGAGAGGAATTTCCCACCTCTTGCTGTGGGTTTTGTGCCTGAGGACTCACTTTGTCCAGAGAGAAAATTGATCGCATCTTCAAAAGAAAAGAAAAGAAATCCTTCCAGCACACAAGTATTTGTCAGGAAGGCATGACTGTTTCAGAACATTAAAGTCAGCTGCTCTTCTCTAAATAAGAGCTGCAGCAAAATAGTGAGGGTCAATTTGTCATTTTTAAGTAAGTTATGAGCCAGAATCCATGACCAATCTCTTTTTCTGTATGATACTGTTTATAGATCATGTCAAATCCTTCAGCTCTGGGCCCAGATTAGATTAGGAATGATATCCTCCTTTTATTCCAAAACAATGAGGTACTGAATCTATATTTGAAATCATTTAATTAGGCAGCTGTGATTTTTTATTTTCCTTGTATAGACAGATCCTGTCTTTTATTAAACAGCCTTAATATACCTTACAGCTGCTAGTCTTACATATGTTCATATGATTTTTCTCAGTCTCATACTAGCTTAGACCTTCCTTCCCTTTGCAACTCAGAGGGTTTTTAGATAATTTCTTTCTCATCCTCCTGACACAATAAAACCTGAGTTTTATTGACAGTTCTGCATTTCTGTAGCCAGTTTCTTTGTTCCTAAACTCCTTACCAAACTTCTCTGTTGCTCCTCCCCTGCTGATCCATTACTAATCTCAGTGCAGATAAACTATTCTTCCTACCAGCTTTCAACTACATTTCTAGGATGGCTTTTCCCCCTCTTTATGCAGAGCCAACCTGTGCTGGGCGTATAAGAAATACATAATTGCTATGGGGGTGTATGCACTATATATACATTAGTGGGGCATCTCATTTTCCTGAATATAGCTGACAAATAAAAAATCAGTTTTTACTTGTAGCATCAGGGAACAGATTGCTTATTATGAAATATAATCAGTATGTGAAGGCATAATTTTTACAAATTGTGTTTTCTGGCATCAGTTTGTTTGTATACATTTAAAATTTTGTTTCCAGCAAACTTCACCTGTGCAAATTGGTAATTTCTAAGAAGATAAATGTCAGGTTTGCTCAAAAGTCTGCCTCCTCACAGAACAGAGCATATTTCAAAGGATTCAATGTGGCCAAAAAGAATAGAATATTCTGCATTCATATATAACATATGCTATGTATAGTCTGGATATCCAGCTAAGGCCTTTAACATGTTTCTTACATTTCTTGTATATATAAATTTTCAAGTGGATGATTGGATGGACTGTTGGATGTCTTATTCCCTGGTTCTTTCTAGCTAGTGCTTGGCTAGTGCTTATATCTGTTATATTTGGCCAGTAAACTGGAGTCAGCAAAAAAATCCTGTTCTTCTCAGTGAGTTGTATATAGCCACTAACCTTTAAAAGTTTAAGTGATATATACAGGATGAATGTAAACATGAGCACGCTTCATTGTTTTGGGTCCACAATCCTGCCTAGTTTCTGTGTGCAAATTAGTTATATAAATAAGGAAATGTGGCATTTGGAAGTGAAAATATTCTGACTTGTATGCAGCAATGTAAGAATTGCATGTGGGATTCAGACATGCTGCTCATGAACATTTGTTGGGCTGAACTATATTCCTTGATAAGTTAAAAATCACATTTAACATGCTTTTATTTTGAAGGTACAGGTACAGATGAACTTTCAGAATGAAACGTGCTGATTATACATTTGGAAAGGCTGAATTTTGTAAATTAGATCAGGGGAGATTTGCATGAAGGAGCTCCTGCTAATACAAATGAGGAACACCAGCCTGGTATGGGGGTTTTTCTTTTGAGTTCCCGTGTGATGCTTAGACATAGCCTCTCTTACATCACACTAGCAATTAGAAAAATTGATATCGTTTGAATTTCAGTTTCAGACAGAATTTTTGGCAACAGTGCTTCTGGATTCTGAATTTAAGGCAATGAGAGAAAGAATGACTGAAAGGGATCAGGCCCAGAGCCATAAGAGGTGACAGGAATCACCTTTAAATTGCAGACCCAAACTTCCCATTAAAGTGCCTGAAAGCCCTTGGTAGCCAAAATACCAAACTCCTGCTATTTGTTGCAGTGACTTGGGATTGGATGTGGCTCACCTGCTTTTTACAGTAAAGTGATGCATATCTCATTTCTGCAGTCACGAGTGACAGAGTACCTGTAGCTGTCCCCTGGTGGAGTGGTTTGCTTCTGCTTTGAAGCAGTTGGTCCAAATGGGTTTTAGGGATGCTGCTCCCCTTCTCCAAAACATAAGGAAAGAAGTGCAAATGGGTTATCTGCTTGGGCATGGGAAGAAGATGATTGAGCACAGTCATCAGAAGATCCTGGAGCAGCAGCTGTGGTTCTGCTGGTGAGAGAGGTGGGTCTCTCAGTGATGATGGGGCATCTGAGTTTGTGAAAGGTAAGGTCTTGGTAAGAAAAATTTTAATAGCAATAAGTCTGTTCAATCACAATACTTCTGTTAAACAGTAATACTTCAGGCCTACCTACCAGATCTCAGAAGGTCCAGGTCTTGTTTGAGGAAATAAAATGTAGTTTTTGATCAAATCAGTTTCAGATTTTTGCCTTAGCTGTTGGTTTGCCAGCTGAGGCTGGGGTTCTGCTGCTGGAGTACCTAGAACACCCCCAAAAGCACTTAGATCCCAATAACATGGAAATGAATGGACGTGGTTTTCCCTGTGCTTGCAGTGTGCAGCCTGGAACAAGAGGGGCTCCTGCAGAAGCAGCATGCCCATCATCCTGGGGACATTGCTGGCTCTGTGCTGAGCAGGTGCCCCTGAACTCCACCACCCCTCTCTGTGGGGACTTGGAGACCACGCTCATCCTGATTATTTGGGTTAGGCCAGGGCCAGGAAAATCAGTTTGTAGCATTGGCGATGGCATGGGATTTCTGTAGCAGTTTGGGAGCACAGGAAGCAAAGAGAGAGACAGCCATTTTATTTTAGGCTTATGCTATACATTGAGATTCATTATACAATTTTTCCCCTAAATTAATACAAAAATAGTAAAAATAGGTTAAAAAAAGCCTAAACGAAAACCCCTGACATCTTGCAAGCCATTTATTTGATGCACAGATTAAGACTTCTTGGAGCTTAAATAATCTAGAATTGTTTCTGCCGATCTTTTTTTGTTTTGTTTTTCCCCCAAAATTAAAAAAAGGTAATGACTTGCAGAATGCCAACGACATCAGAACAATTTGTGCCTGAGAAGCGGCTGCCCCAGGCAGGCGCACGTGATGCTGAGGTGCCCTCTCTCCAGGCTGGAAGCTGTGCCAGGACAACAGGGCAAGGGGTGGCATGGCAGGGCATGCCATTCTGCTCCAACCCACGCACCATGGACAGGAATTCGTGTTCAAATGCCCTCCTGGGATCCTTTTGCCATCTCTTTCTCAAAAAAACCCAACCAAACAAGAAGTTTCCCACTGCGCTTTTCTGGCAGAGGACGAGTTTCACAAGGGCTTCGTAGGGGCCCATCTCCACCCAAAATTTGGAGTTAAAGTTTCTCCCTGTTCTCTAATAAAATTAGGGAGGGGTGATAAGGTTGTCCTCCCCACTGCACTGAGCTGGGGTCACTGGAGTGCCCTGCAGTAGTGCCTGGCCATGGGTGGAAGATGCTTCCTACCTTTGGGAAAGGGAAGGGGCTCTCACCCCTCCCCACCTCCTTCTCATCAGACTTGTGTGTTCCCCAGAAAGGCTTAGTTACTTCACAATGTTGATAAGAAAAATAAATGACAGGTACTTCTAGTGATAAATGTAGGGATAAAGCCATGGAAGAAATACTTTGTCCCTACAGAGCTAAATTGTACAATCTGATTTTTATGGATCAGGATTTCAATGTGTGCAAAGGCAGGGGAGGAAAAGGCTCTGGATAATTCTTTCCAACTAAGAGCTTCCAGAAAGTGGTTTCCTACAGGGCTTGTGCCTTACCACGACAGCACTGGTTCAGCAAAACCCCCCCAGTAGTGCTGCCACAGTGTGAGAATGGTGAGGAGCTGTTCCTGCAGGGCAGCTGATGCTCTCTGCAGGCTGCACACCCTGGGAACCCCTGGCAGGGCTGTGGGATGGGGACAAGGGAAATGGCACCACCACAGCCCCTGGTCTGGCATCCCCAGTGCCCACAGCAGTGCCAGCCCTGCCCTGCCCAATTCCCATCCTGCTGACAGCTCCCAGCCATGCCAGAGGAGCTGCTCTAACTGGAGTGCACAGCAAACCCAGAGCTGACGCCCACTAACTCAGCTTCCCTTCCCCGTGTCTCCCTGAACATGATATTTGCTTTCCAAGTTAACAAAGTAGGAAAGACCACCACTTTGCTAAGTTTTGAAGTCACCAGGTCTTCTCCCACAACCCATTTGCTTTGCTGGCTCTCTCTGTTTTTCAGAGAAGCCAGTCTTCCTTCTGGACTCCCCTGATCTCTGCCCAGTTGTGCCACCACTTAGTTCTGTTTTCCCTTTGAATAAAAATAAAGGTGTTGGCTGATGTGGGATTTCATGGCTCACAGGAGGACAGCCACCCTAGAAAAAAACATTTAAAAGTACACCTTTCAATTTACAGTACATGTTTTACCTGAATTCAGCGCTGGCTCAGAAGACTTCTGAGAGCAGATGTGAATCCTCTTGTGACTCAACATAACCTCAGGCCACTTTGGTACTGAATTCCCTCCAGGTTCATGCAGTTGACCATAATAAATGTATTTGCTTGTCTTTGGAAAAGAAGCTCTTTTTCTTTTACAGACAGGTTTTTCTCAACAATTCCAGCTCTAATTTTAATCTAACTAGAACACTTCCACATTTCTGCTTTGGGCAGAAAATTCTGTCTTCATCAATTAATGTTTATGGCATAGTTATTCCAGCTATAACAAATTTTCTTTTTTTTTTTCTCCATTTAGAGTAATTGTAAATTGAAAGTGGACTTGTGCTAACAAAATATCAGAAGTTATATTACAAGAAAACTGGATTGATCTTGAGGGCCATATGCAGGTAGGTTGGCTCTTTTCCCCCATGCTTACCCTGTAGTAAAAATATCCTGTACACCAAACCTTACTGTATGGGAATTTTCATGTTTGTAGAAGATATATGTGCTCAGTGAGCCATAGTCCTACATAGTCTTGTTAGCCTTAGCTAAATTTTCACTGTTAGATTTTAGTCAGTGCCTGACAGTGTATAATACTCTGCTCTACTCACTGCATTTATAAAAAATTGGATCATCTATATTGCAAACAAAACCACAGTGATACCAGGGCTGAAAAGCCACTTAAGAGTATGTCAAAAATCTGCTTAAGCCTAGGTAGTCTTCCAAACTGGAGGTTCACCAGTAAGGGGAAAATCTCATGCACAGTTAGCCACTGGGAGTGCTTTGGACTGAGAACAGAGCACTGCATCTGCACCTACTCAATAAATCAGTGCAGGGAGGTCCATTGACTTTGGTGAAGATAATTGCTCCAGAGGAAAAGGTTGAAGGGGAGGAAGGCCAAAGTGGCTTAGCATAGTCTGAAACCTTGAGAACGTGGTTCATGTTGAGGTATTCAAGCTACCTGCAGAGAAGGAGCATTTGGTGCATCCCTCAGACACATCAGGATCCAGGCTGAGTCTCACGGACCTGGGCTGAGTGCACCTTGGGCACTTCCCTGGCATGTGCTGGGGAACAGAATGGCAGCTTGATGTGAAACACAGTGAAAAATGTATGTAAGTTGGTTCTGGCTCTGTTCTGGGTTTTCTCTCTTTTGGGGATGCTCCAGTCTCCTGCCTGTCCTATCCCTGTGTAGAAAGGGGCACGACTCCTCTTCTCCATCCCAGTCTTGGGTGGCTAGCAGGAGTTAATGGTTACTAAAGAGGGTAACATGGCACTGAGGGGAACTATTGGGAAAGGAATCTGCCCTTAAAAAGACTTTTAGGAATGGGCTAGACAAACACCCTTCAGAAATTATTTAAATGTTGGCTCTGCCCTAGGGGCAAGGGCATGGATTCCATGACTTCTCACCCTGCCTTCTGAGGACACTCAAGCCTCTTCTGCAGCACTTTGTCACAGGAATGCCTCCACATCCTTTTCCTGACAGGTTTGCAGATAGAGAAGTAATTTTGTCCCTGGTTTTATCACCTTTCTTGAAGATCTCTGAAGGCCTCACATGGTGAGATTTAATAAGAGATCTGTGAAACTGCAAGCTTGTCTTTGGACATCTCTTTAAAGATGCTCCTGGTCTATGCACTGCAATTAGATGTGAGGAGGTTTATGATAACTATCTTGGCATCTGGTGTTTGCAAGGGAATAGCAGAGGGATAGCAGAGGTGTAAAATCAGTGCTTGCCATGTATTCCTCTCGGCAGAGTACAAACAGCCTCTCTGACACGTGTCCCATTTCCAAGTGTCACACAAGTCAGTGGATCACTGCAGAGGAATTGCAGTTCCTCTGTAACTCTCAGCTAATTTGCTAATGCCCTCAGAAGTTTAAAAGCCACTGCAGCTGCCTGTTGAACAGCCAGGGGGACAGGGTGACTGGTATTTAAACAACATACTGATGATCACAGAAAATCTACAGTGAAGTACATTTAAGGAATATTTTTTGGCCAGAAAACATAGCCCCAAGCCTGAGTCTAAAAAAACTGGGGAAACAGATCTCTTTCCTAGCCTTACATTCGTTTGGCTGTCTTCAAGGTGTCTGCCTGTGTTCTGCCAAGGCTGAAGTTGTTGTTACAGCTTCCCAGCTGCTACTGAAGCAACTGTTGTTTACTTAAGCAAAAAGCCTGCACATTCCTGGACACAGCTTCCTTTCTTCTGGTCAGGGAAGGGACTTATCCAGGGGAAAGTAAATGTTGCCAGCTGCTCTGCTGATTTGTTTTGCTAGTGAGAATGTAATATTTTGCTTCAGGGCAAAATATCTGGTTATCTTATTTTCTGCTAGGAAGGATGCTTCAGAAATATCTCTTTGCTGGAAAATTAATATTCAGTAGGTGGCATTTGCAGGTTTTGTACAGGGCATTTGGGGGTCACTGGGATTTGGATGCTAAAGAGATGTTTCAAGTAATGAAGCACATCCTGGTTTTGTGACCACAGATGTCCTAGTGGCTGTACAGGTACCACAGGCAGCCTCCCAAGCCATGGTGCTCCCAGTGCTCCAAGCCCCAAGGCTCTTGCAATATCCCTCCCCCTCCAGATACTGACATTGAAGCAAACTTTGTGCCAAATGCTGAAAACCTTTCAAGTGCTCTTAGTTTCCAGATGAGCTGCAGAAGGGAGTCTGGTTGCAATACATTCATGTTGCACCACAAAGCAACAGTCCATATGAACCCACCTGACACACACCAGCCAGCTAATGCCACTGGGGCTTCACAGGCAACGTATGGTCAGAATGCTCTCAGCAAAACCTACAGAATTGGCTTACATATCCCCACTGGGGTTCAACCACATGATAAAACCTTACAGCAATGAGCCTGTCGCTCTTAAGGGTGGAGGGGGTGGAGGAGGGAAGAGATGCTGCTTTATCTGTTTTACTCCACATCACAGATGCTGACAGAATTATTGATTTAGAACTCATGGCTCCAAAAAGACTTGCTAATGTAATCTTTTTAAGTTGGTTTTTTTAGGTATTTTTTTTTCCCCTCTTACATGTGATGTTTTCAATAGGCCCCTTAGATATGGGCTCTCTGGGGACGTTGTTGAACTTGCTGTTGCTAAACCACAGAGCCAACCTTCAGTTTGTTCCACTCAACACTTACTGTCTACTGTCTCCTGGAAGAGCCCATAGCTGCAAGGTCTATTGCTTTACAGGTACTCTAGGAAGATTGAGGGATTAAGTTATACATTATGTAAAACTACCCACTAATCCTCTTAGTGTGCATTACCAGTGAATGGCCTGAAATAGGCTCTCACTAAAAGAGCCCTAACATTCACTTTCTTGATGACATTTTAGTATTTGAGGTTTGTATCATGGATTTTGGTGCTGAAATATTCAGTACACCATCTTCTATCTGCTGCTAGATCCACTCACATGTCTTAGTAGAGTGCTAACAAAATTACAGTTGGTAAAGCAGATTACATGTTTAACTAGTAGCGAGACATGTATAAAATAGAATTATATATTTTCTAGAGTGACAGAGTCACATGGATTTTTTTGTTCCTTTTTTTTTTTGTTCTTTTTTGTTTTTATAAGAAAAAGAAACAGCTATAAAACCATGATTAAAAATGTTACAAGGGATGATTTCAATTTTAAAATAATGATACTTTTAGAAAAAAAAAGTGATTCATAACATAAAGGTGTTTGGAAAGCACTTGGTTGCTGTGTACTGCCTTCTTTCCCAGTACAGTTTGCTATTTTTTATATAGTCTTGCATAAATGTTTAGATTAGGGGAGAAAAGAAATATTAAATGTGATGGCAAAGACTTATAAGAGCTGACTCACTGACTTGAGTTATTGCTGTGCAGAAAGTCTGTAAAGCCTTTACATCCAGTGAACATTTAGTGCTACTTCAGCCTTGACAGTTGACCTTTCAACATGATTTGGTTTAGCCACAATAATTGCAGCATCTGCAGTACAGGCAATGCAGACGACTGCTTAAGAACTCAACTTCTTCCATTAGATCTTACTTCATGCATCTAAAATTTAACCTCTCTTTGCATGGGTGTGCAAATTCTCCCATATTACCTGTTATAGGAACTGAGCAAGGTACAATACCCCGGCTCTTGCTTTTTTTTTTTTAATTTATTTTTAATTTCTCCCATAATTTTGAATATTCCTGGATTTAGCTTAGAGGAGGGAGGGGAAAACCTCCAATCTTCCTGTCCCCACACATTTAGTCAGTACTGGTTTCTTTTTTTTTTTTTTCTCAGTAAGACCTAGTGTAAAAAAGCAACCAACAAATCAAGTTAGACTGTTGTAATTTGGTCAACCACTCGGGTGCTATCCATATCCACCATTTCAACACACTCTATTTCCTCACGGTTTTCAGGATTCTTCTTCTCTTTCCTCTTCTTCTTGGAGGGTGGCAGGAAAGTCAGTATCACAGGTAAAATGGCAAAGCAGTGAAAGAAGGTGACTAATGCTATTAAAAACAAGCACCTGAACAGTGTACGGGTCAGATTTGAAGGCACAGCTGCAAGAGGAATCAGACCAACAATATAGCAGAGGTAGCTCTGCAAAATAGCTACCCCATGCACTTCCAGGGCATTTTTCACCCATTTAGTTCTTGTGAACTCTTTGCCCAGGACAAAGGTTGATAACAGTGGAGCACAGTTGTCAATTGTATAATTAATTCCGTAAATTAAGCACAACACAGAAATACAATCTAGTTCCACTTTCCACAAGGTCATAAAACCTATAACTCCAAATTCAACTGAGGCAACAGTTAGAGTGAGCCAGACATTGATCAGAGAGTCTGCCACCAGGAATGCAGAGAAGAAGAGCAGAAATAAAGCACTAATGCAGGAGTTTTGTAAGGGGGCTCCCACTGAAGAGGCATAACGATCCATGTACACAAATGATGGATTGAAAACGATGAATTTCACCTTGGAGGTGAGAGAGAGCTTCCTCAGGGTCTCCAGGAGGTCATAAAGTTCTTCCCTCTTGGTTTCCATTGTCTTGGCCACCAAGAACATCCTGGAGGCCACAACATCAACTTCATTGTTGTACTTCTTGGAAAAGATGATATCCTCTGAAAAATGGGCAAACTGAGGGGTCTTCAGGAAGGAGTTCCTCAACATATCAGTGAAATTCTTCTTCGGCAATCCAGTAGATATGTTGAGTTTCCTAAGGTAATTTAAGTAGCTCTCGAACCAAGATATCCTCACGAAGCCCTTGGTGTACTCCAGCACGTCCTCCTGGACACTGGTGTTCCAGTACTCGATGGACTCGTAGATGTAGAACCCGATGACCGGGCTGTAGTTACTGAAGTACTTCTGCTGGGCAGTCGTGTACTCGATGGTCCGAGTCGCGGTCGCTACGATGTTGCTCAGGTCTGACCCCTCACTGACCTGCAGGTAGCCCATTAAGGCAAAGGAAATATAAACAAGGTAAAAGAGAACTACAAAAGGCTTGACATAAGTGTTTGTTATCCAGTCACAATAATAGCGTTTCAGGAACCACACCAAAAGATGACTCTCATAAGTGTTCGTTTCCTCTGAATCATCCGTGTCCTCACTGAATCTGGCTGTCAGAAGAAACCTATACCATGCAGGCTTCTCTTGCAATACCTCTGGCTTTGGTACCTTTCTGCAGAAGATACTATGCTGGTAGTTGTTTTCTATGTAGCCAGTAAACACCAGGCTGGAACCATAAAAGGAGAGTACATAGAGGTAGTTGAAGAAAATTGCAATACAGGAATTGCAGCAGAAAATCCTGGCTGCTTCAATGTTAGTGAAGGGACTGGCACCTATTCCAAAAGTGACCAGGTACATGGCAGTGGTGAGAGAAAACGAGAGCATGGAGTCTGCAAATACAGCTGCAGTCCTCTCTTTAACGTGTTGGTCTTCTCTAGTTTTTCTCCAGGAGGACAACATTTCAAAAGTCCCATACAACCCATGACCTACAATAGAGAACAAAGGTAGTGTTCAATGTATTCAAATACCAAATTACACAGAAGAAAGTAATGTCAACATGCTAAAAGGCTCAAAGGAGACACAGCTGGATGCTATCAGTGCATGAAGGAAATGTCCTGTAGAAGAGAGAAATGATTAAGGAGGTGTAAACCACAGGAGCACGTTTGCTACCTGCATAGCAAACCTTACTGTGAGAGCTCCAGGAGAGTTCTGCACTGCTGGCACAGGATCCACGGGTAAAAAAAACAGGATTTTTTTACTCTGCTTGGCTGTTTCGTTTCGTTATTTCCGAGTGCCTGTCATGGAAGATGCTTTCAAATTAGTTTTTCTTGGTGATTTCATCTGACCTGTGGTGAAAACAAAGAAATACGACCTTGAAGTGCCTGTGCTGGAAGCAGAGCATTAGTTGGTTGCATTGTAGAAAATCTGTAAAAAATGAAAATTCCACACAAACTGAAAATGATCAATTAAATCAGTTACTGATTTCTCCACCTCTCATAAGTTTTCCACGAGGAAAAAGAAATCCTAGAAATGAAACAAACAAATAAAAGCACAAATAAATTTTAGAGAAGGACAGTGGTAAAACTGATATGGAGCTGCTTAAGGCATTGGTCTTCTTTATATATCTGAGAGCTTGTAAAACAAATACAGCCCTGTATTTCTTGGCAATGCCTACATTTTGTAATGTATTTAATTGACTCTTAAAATGGATATACCATTCACAAAAGGAACGACCTAAAATCCTGTGTTTAACTCCCAAGTGCAGGTAAATCAGGAAAAGTACATGCTTTTATTTTAATCCCTGGTTGGTCATCTTCCTCTTACAGTTTCTGTGTTGTGAAGATGCATTTGGAGGACACAGACCTCTGCTCTCTGGTAGTGATCCTGGGCTGGGAATGCAGCCATTGACCATCTACCAGGTGAGAAGAGCTGAAGTAAATGTAGTTTGATGATTTACACAGAGATAAACAGAATATAGTCTTTGCATCACACCTAAAATGTGAGATGGTAATATTTTCTCATAATAATTTATTATAACGTTTATCTTTACTTAAGAGATCTTTTCCATATAATCCCAGCCTCTTTGCTGCCTTTTAATTCCTCCTCCTCATTCTTTTGCTGATTTTGCTGTCACTTGTCTGTTTCTCTGGTCTGCTCTTGGATTATCTCCAGAAATTCCCAAAAGTCAGTCCACTGTGTTTTGCTCCTACCCATCTTCTCTGATAGTAGTAGATAAAATGATCAGTGCTAAATTAGTTGCTGATAACACTGAAGTGCAAGCACTGAACTTTTGAAGCTGATGCTCCAGTCAGGAAGGTCAAGGTAATTCACAGATCTCCCTTAGAATTTCAGGCTGTCTGCAGAGTACCAAGATTGCTGTATCAGCTCTGTTCTCTTCCCCTGTAGACAATTATCACTTTTGCTACCAGAGATATAAATACCAGCCCATAAACCCAAGGCAAATGAGGTATTTTGAAGAAGTGGAACACCACAAGATCTATCAGGCATGTTGGAACTGGATGATCTTGAAGGTCCCTTCCAGCCCAAACCATTCTGTGATGCTGTGAGTCTATAACCATGTTAATTCTTAAATGCCTCATACAGGCTAAATATTTAATTAACTTGACAAAACAACCCTTTTGTGGTCAGTTGTTGCTGATTCACTTCACCTTTCTTGAAATCTGTATTTTGACAGATGGCAGAGCTGGTCACTCTGTTATGCTGAAAAGAATAGGTATGGAGTATTTTATAAAGAAGTCACAATACAGCACTCATAAGATGAGACAATAGGACAACTGGTGTATCTCCTTATCACCTGATGTTTAGTGTAATGAAGTCCACACTCACATGTAAATCAGATATTTTACCTATTTTGTTATTTAGAGTCGTGGCATGGACCTCAAATGTCCAATTTGTAGCAGTATTACAGACCTGGCTTTGGCATTCATCTTAATTTTCCCCAACAGTGTTTTACAGCTGCTTTCAGAGGCCAGGTCAAGACTGTCAATTTGATAACTAGCACTGTGCCCCCTCTTAGAGCTAATGGGGAATACTGGAACTCCCCAGACATAAAATCAAGCAAAAAGCACAATCAGTGACTGGCATCCCGTTGCTAATTATGCTTCAAATAGTTATGTTCTAGGCTCAGTAGGGAAAGCTATTAAGCTTGCTTTCAGTGTGTTCTTTGTAAAGACAGACTGACCTTTATTTAAATGTAACTGATCACTTGCCAAAGTAGGGAGTGAGAGGTTCAATCCATTTATGGCTCCCATGAGTCCTGCAGGCTCGTCTGCGAATTTCACATGGCATCATACGCATTAGCATTGAGTGAGCAAAACAGAATAAAATGAGGTCATTGAATATTACAAATTACTTCCATCATGAGCTTTAGCTATAGCATGTTTTTGTGAAAAAAAACACCCCAGCATTAATAGGCTCTTGCCTAAAAATACTCAAATAGCCATATTAATTTGGGGAACCTTTCAATGTGCAATGAGAGAAGGAAATTAGAGCTAGTTAAATATGATGCTGAACATGACATTTTAACAGGTATAAGGCTTTGGATAATGCCTGATAACATGACTTCTGATACCACATTCCTTCTTTAGACAGGAAAGATAAAACCACAATTTGCTCTTACATAATCTTCATGACTACCCTAAAATGGAATCTGATTTAGAGAACTGCTCAAGTAAATGCATGAAGAGGCGTCACCACATGTGCTCCACAAAGCCAAGAGAAAAATATTTGGATACTTTCCTATTTTAGGATAGGTTCCTTTTGTTGTTTGCTACACAATCTGTGTACTAGGAGCTGGTATTTTCCTTCAATTGTACAGTTTGTGATTTCTCTGTCCATTTATACGACAGGTACAGAATTATCATTTACATTGAGGAGGACATGCCTAAAGTTGCAGACTTTTGCACCAGTGCCATTCTTGACCTTATCCAGTTTCCTCAGAAAAAATTAGGCCCAAACTCAATAACAAATTAGGCAGTCCAAAGATTAGCTGCATTTAACTAGGATGGGATTTACCTAACCTAATTTACCTCTAAATACTGACTGCAAACACAACTTGGAGAACAATCTCCATCACTCTAACTCACTGATGTTCATATAAGTCCAGCCCACAGAGACTAGTGCAGATATCTCCATGGAAGCATTTTGAGAGACTTTCTTTCACTTCTCTGCCATTTCAGGGTTTTCATTTTTTGCACCCCTAATCAATTTGCACTAATTACCTCTATTTCTCTCACTGTTGCTACATCTTCTCCATGTAATATTAATGAGACGAAGGGAATTTTTTTCCTTGTAAATAAATTCTGTAATTGCTTCAACTGATTTTCCCTTTTTAATAGAGATTTAGCCGCAAATCTGTAATCATTTAGAGCAACTTGTTCATTATTCACGGTCATTCAGTAAATAATAAATATGAACTCAAACAGCTAATGGGCTACTGGAGATCTTTTCCTGCTGACATTTGCTGCTATGATTCACCGGTCGTGCCCTACAGCCAGGCTGTACAATCACGAGCTAACAAGAAGAACACAGAAAGATGGGAGTTTTTTAAGGAAAAGAAGTTAGGGGTCAAAGGAAAATGTTAAAGGGAGAGGAGAAAGGTATTTTGGACAAAATGGGAATCAAACTTTTTTTTCTTATTCTCTTTTTCTGCTGCTTTGTATTTAGGAGATACTCCTACCTTATACTGGAGGACTGAGAGCAGACATTCTGACTTCTGTAGTCAAAGAAAATGAAGAAAATTACTGTTAATGCTGAGGATCTCCACAGGTTTTTTAGCCTGAGGTGGGCTACCTTTAATTTTAGAACCTGATGATAATAGTAATACTACCAATAAACCTGATAAATTAGGCCTAGCTTAAATACAGCACTTTTATGAGTAGCCTGAAAATGCTATAAAAAGTTTCATTTGCCTCCTTCAGAAACAAGTCTTGCAATTACACATGCTCTGCAAAATCAATGCAGAGCCTACATCAGAAAAAAAGCATTTGTAGGAAGTTGTGAAAATGAAAGAAAGTTTTTATCTTCCTTAAAATTATCAAATCATTTACCTCATTTTAAAATACCACTTATGTGCAGGCACTGAAATGATTCCTTTTAGTACCATTTTCAAACCTCAAAAAAGAAATGCATCCTTTCCCCTGTTAAGTGGTTGTTCAAGCAAGGGGCCCCCATGGGTTGGCACAGGCAGCCTGGGCTTAGTGCTGGCTCTGCTCCTGACTGAAAACAGTGAGACCAAAGCAGAGGGAGGAGAAGGGATTTCAGCAGCCCCAGAGCCTGTGAGAGGGCAGCAAAGTGACCTGCTGGTCTCTGGAGTTACAAACCTGCTCTCTACTTGCTTGGTTTAATTGCCTACCTGAAACAATGCCTGCTGCCTGCTTTTGTAAAACAAATGAGCGGTATCAATTTTGCACTAAAATCATGCGAAGTTTTGATCTTATTGTGGTAATATGAGGCTTAGATATCCAAATAGACTTCTCCCATCAGAGAAATTGAGGGGAATGACCAAGAAAGAGGTTTTTGGTTCTTCTTTTTGTACTTTTACCCCTCTATGAAAGTAGAGAACAATAGTACACTGTGGGTCTCATCTTTTTTGTCCTTACTGTTTTGAAGGTTGTATGCATCAAAGTCTTCCAGAGGGAGCAGACTTCACTAGTGGCAAAGTTGGGCTATGCGTGTTTCTCACTTCTCAGGCTTCTGATCTCCTACTGAAGTTTTCTGCTCCCACATGGCTACTGATTCACCTGTTTTAGTCCACACTGGACTAAAGGAATGGTGGGGATCAGAAAGTAGCCTTTTTTCTTTTTTTGAAGGCTACTTTTGAAACAAAATCTTTTCCTGATGCTGATGGCACAAAAGACTGTCTGAAATGGCTAATGACTCATGGTAGGATATATGGGAGCCTTGTAAACTGGGTGGCTGAAAATTTGAAGTGGAAGCATGCCCTGATGGAATATCTGAGGTTAAG